GGGAGAACTACTTTTTTAAAACAGTAGCTGTAGTTATAGCGAAGTACATTTTGCCTAAAAGAAGCCAAGCAGTTGACTACTTTTCAAACAGCGAATCGCTTTTCGCTACTTTTTTAAATTGTTAGCAACTTGATAGAATAGCATGATATTGAGACACGGTTTGCTTAAAATCAATCCGCAATAGTCAATTATTTGCACTCTGGAAGAGTGTACGTAGTGCTTACAAAGTGTTGCTTTGTGTTTACTGTTGCTACTCGTAAGTCGATTCCTCAACAGGGGGGGTGCAGATAATAATTGGAATAGCCCAATTGGGAAGGACTTCTCAAATTTCCTTAAATATGACGCGAGTTGGTAGGGACAAAGCAACACTCTAGATGGTCAAGATTATTATTAGTGTAAATGTATATTAAAATACCTGGGTAGATTCATGATCATCGGCTTCTTCATCTATTTCGTTTGGAGCTTCGGGTTTAACAAATCTCATGTAGAATACCTTAATATCTGGAATTTGGTTCATGTTTTTACAAGATGGGCCACGTTCTCCCGCGAGGATGTCACACACCATGCCTTTTCAATGTGCTTAGCGAAATACTTTTGACAAGATTAAACTATGTTTTCGAATGCGAACTCATCGTGTTCAAATGGAACAAACTCTTGTGGGCCAATTCGAGTATACTTCTGCTGTTTTCCTGTCACTTCGGAGCTCATTCTCTGAACTATGATTTCGTCCTTCAAATCATTTGACTCTCCTTTGCCTTTTTTCCCTGGTTTTGCCATTCGTTTTTCACGTTGCTTGATCTTAAACTGTCTCCAATCCGACATTTTGTCATATTGTGATGTTTGCACTTTCGAATTCCATGTGCTCGACGAGTTGACGGATAAAGTAGGTGATCGGACTACATATACGGATATAAAATTTGTCACGCGCGCATGGCATCATGGTAGTGGCAGCGCTCGGCCACAGAGAAATTTACTTTTATTTTTGTTTGCATTTCACTTTGAATATAACTTTAGTTTTCGGTTGAAGTTGTATTTGGAATGAACTTTTATTTTAAATTGCTTTAGCTTTCGCATTTCAAATGAAAAAAAAATTAACTTCATTCGAGTTTGTATGTGGTATTTACATTTACTTTTACATTAACATTTTATTTTACTTTAATTGTCTTTACTTTTTGAATTTCAATTTGTAAAAAACTCAAAATTTTTAAATGGCAACGCTCGGACACCATGGAGCTGTTTCCTCCATAATTCAGTTTAGCCCCCAGTTACAAGTTCAGCGTTCATTATGTATTATTTAAAGATGTTTATATTATGAACTGTTTGGCGAGCACATGTTCTTATAGTGTTTATAGCAAAATGTACCTTCGCAAATACGCTCAGCACCTACTACAATTATCATGGGTGTACGGGAGCGGAAAAATTAGGGGTCAGAACAAAATTTGCCGACTTTTGCATTTTCCCCGACCAATCAAATTCCATGCTAAACTTCGGAAACTTTCGACAAGCTAAATATGTTTCATCACATTTCCCTATTTTCTTGCATTTTTTACTATTATCTTACATATTTCTTCTTTTCAGTTTATTTTCCCCACTTTTTTCCAACTTAACTACGTCTAACATTTGCCAGACTTACGTTCAAAATTTGCCGAACTTTTCGACATCTCAAATTTTCGGGGGGGCTAGCGACTGACAAGTAATTTATAAGGCCAAACACGTGAACTAAGATCGTGCAAAGTATAGATTGCTCTATCTTATTCGAGCTCGAGATTTCGCATATTAAACAATTCTCAGGAAATATTCTCTTTGATCATAGCGTGGTAGTATCCGAAATAAATCCTTAATAATTAACATATTTCACTTTTAGGTGACTCAAGCGCCAGTGAAATTGTGACAGAAATTTGGTACTCGTCGTTACTAAGCGAAAGAACGTACAACTACCTTTGTGCATCGCTTCGGGGACTTCTTGCCTTGAAAAGTGCTGCGGATTTGAAGACGGCGACAGGTGGACTGACCAGTTTGAACGAAAGCCACCTGAAAGTTTTAAGAGAAGTCTGGAAACGTTGGCTCGACATGAGGGTGGAAGGTACATCAAGCATTCGAAAACAACGTCAAGAAGCAATGAACGCAGACTCTGGGAGTTTCTTCGGCAAAATCAATTATTACAATTGTATTCCTAAGGAACATGTTCCAACTGCCCAGAAGTATATGGAAGATGGTGTCTTTCAGCGCACACAGAAGTGTTCATTCGCCGAAAATCCCACACTAACAGCTTCTTCTTTATTTCCCAAAGGTGGACCCTTTAACTATTGTTGCCCCCCCAACGTCCTTCCATTTGTTGGTTGGGATTATGTTGAAGTGAAGAAATTCAAGCATACTAAATCACTTGTCACCATGTATGGAAAATACATCGACTCTAAGTTAGCCAGTTTCATGGAAAAGCTTACTTCCAAACAAGTAAGCTTTGACATCATTTTGGGAAACTGTGTGAATATAGAGGAATACCTAAACAAAGGGACGACATATGATCGAATTTTGACATCTAATCTCATGGACTATATTCTCCTTCCGGAATTATTAAGGTATAGTATATTCAAGATTTAAATTTATATTATTGATATTTAACTGTCCTCGAAAATACCTAGTGTGCATTTCTGCTAAAGTATTTCCAAGAAATGCTTCACCAGAGAAACAGAAAATTGTTGGATCATGATGGGATGTAAATAATCTAAATTGCATTTTTTATCGATCCATCATACAATCCAGAGGGTCAAAAAAGTAAGTCAGTTCGAGAGAAATTTGTATAGTGAAGATAATTATTATTAGCAGGAGAAATTAGAAACTATAATTTATTGAGATTCGGGTACATAGTTATATTGTTTTGGACATAAAACATCCATATTCTAAGGTTAAGGACGAGAGGTACACAGCCAGCTGAAAACGAGTAAATACAAACATGGCTTCATCAAACAATACTGATCATTGTTTAAATGACTCGCTCTGTAGAAAAGACAATTTCTACAGTTCATCGTCCTTAATTGCTATTATAATTCAGTTACAAAGCCCATTGATGTAGATTGGTGGTGACCGATGAAATCAAGAGAGTTTCTTCAATAAAAAAGGCAATATACGCTTGAGGGAACTGTTCCTGCGCATTTATATACACCTATTCGGCGTTGAACCCTAAAAGTTTAGATTTTAAAAATGGGTAATTTTCATTTTAGAATGTATTCTGACAAGCTAAATCGAGATAATCCTTACGCGACGTTAATAACAGAATGCCAGAACTGGGTGAATTTCTGTCCTGACGCAGATGTGAGTATGATGCCATTTGCCACCCCTGTACAGACAGCACACTTCAGCAGAATTGTAATGCAGGACACAAATGACCCAGTTTTTGCCAACGATGGCGGCACAACCTTCAGAGAATATTTGGATAATTCTAATGAATGGCAAGATTATCTTCGTGCTCTATTTTACGTGTATGACAAGCGGGATGAAACCGGAACGTCCAATTCATCAAAATTACCAATTTTGAAAGAACTAGGCAATAAATTTCAGCTACGGCTGCGTGATGGCTTCCGTAATGAGAATAGAATTGTCTTCTTCAAACAAGCGGTTAATCGACGAAGGGTGACAATGGTAACTGGTCTTGAACGATACATGGAATGGGTGGCTGCATAGGCAAAATGACTAAATGAAAGTTCTAACGTCTTGGCGGAACAGTGATTTAAATGATTGTTAAAATGAAGCGAAAATATTGTGATAGAGAGGTTAAGATTGCCCGGTTAACGCGAAGGGGCGGGCGATATGCGCGTACCCGTACCCGTAAACCGAAGAATGGCTCGTAACTTAAGAATAATGTGGGTGTAGATGTGTATATCTGGAAAAGTTTTTGCAATCCGTAATAAAAAAGCCGGTCATACAATCAATTAACACTGAAGGCCCGGTCACACTACAACGATACAATAATAACGATTTTAAAATCGCTCCCTCGATGTTTCTTTCAGTCTGGAAGAAACGATAATTTTTGGAACAATCAGAGCGTGTTTACAAATTATCGTATAGTTATCGTTCTGTAGTGTGACTGGGCCTTTGTTGTTTACTTAATAGAATCATAAATCGTTAGATAGTTATAAATAGACGTTATAAAATTGAAGTTGGCAGAAATTATACTGAACCGATTGCGATTAATTCCATTTCCATGTAATCCAATAAGAAAACGAAAGGCGTAATATATACAATACGAAATGCTAAAGCACAATAGTGAGCATGTATTTAAAAATGAAGAGTTTCTTATGAATAATTACTTGCTACGATATGTCGGACGAGCTTTAAGACCAAGTTCACACCCAAAACTGCACACATACGTTTTCGATTACCATACGAAATTCTCAAACAAAAAAGGTCAAAAACATTTTTGACCTTTTTTTGTTTGAGAATTTCGTAAAGACAATAAGATTGTTAAATGTGTTATTAATTACTTAGTTGAAATAAGTGGGACCTGCGTTAGGACCAATGTTAGGATCACCGCCATCATCAATTGGTGTCTGAACCACGCGGGTGCCATACACAATCAAAGATTTCATCAAACCAAACGCGTCATCGAACCTGGAAAATAGAGATGAACACACAGAAATTAAAAAAAAATAGAACTGGTTTATTATCATTATCCTGATAGACAGAAAGTGAATAGTCATTTTAGTATTACAAAATACCAAAGATTCCTAAAACATAATTTAAGCCATTTTAGTATATAGTTCAATAAAACTATATATTCTATATTAACATCAATTAATTTGAAATGATCTTTTTATGAAATATTTTAGCGTAACTTGAATTTCTTAAAATGGGCAAGCTATCAGTCTTTTGAAGTACTATGACATGCAACCCTCTTTAAAATTACTTACTGTACTTAGCCTAGTTACTTAGTACTTACTGTACTTATTTATACTTTTTTACATACTCAATTACTCATTTAGCTAATTATATTTAATTTCGGACATGGATGGATTTATAGCTAATTTATCGGAGGATATGGATTTATTTACTGGTTAAATTAAAATCATGTCATATTTCATGTTTTAAGTTTTGTAAAATATGTGCCATCCATTTACCTTTAATTTATTTAGTTATTTAATCTTTTGTAAAAAATTATAGAAGTTCTTTAGAAAATGGAGGTAAAGAAGATTTTTAAATTTATTGTAATATATGCCACCATTTAATATTCAGTAATTTAATCTTTTGTAATAAAATATAGAAGTTCTTCAGAAAATTGCGAGGCATAGAAGATCTTAATTTATTTACTTAGTTACTTTCTTGCTTATTAATTTCTTTTTTTACCTGTCAACATTGCCATCGAATACACTTTGCAAGGTCTCCAATAACTTCCTGTACACATCATTGAAAGCTTGCGCATTCTTATAAGCCTGACTATCAGGTTTGTACTTTGACATTTGTGGGTTATTCACCACAGGCCAGACTCCAGTTTCGAAGAAAGAAATTTTGTCACCTGCGTAGACATAGTTCTCATGTGATTCCTGGTGAAAAATTGATTAAAATATATATCCTTTATAATATAATCTAACAGCGCATTGTCATTACTAAGCTGAAGAGCCGTACGCATATTTTTTTTACCAGAGGGCGGTAATACCTACAGTGGAATCCCGCCATTCCACCACTTCGTTAATACGACCACCACGATAATATGACAATTTTTTATTTCCATGAACAACACTTAAATATACCTTCTTCCTCTAACCCCCATCGCTATACAATCCGGCGCTGCTAAGCTGACTTAAAACCGGATAGAAACGCCATATTCATTGGGTCGTATGCTGTATAATACCTCACTAATCTCAAAAGTAGAGCAAACTACTAGAATACCAGGATATGAAATTGCAATGTAGCAAGATCTTAAAAACGTACATATAGGAGAGTAATATCATAGAATTTACTTTAAAACGATGTTTTTACTTTTGCTTTGAAGAAATGGTGAGAGATTTTGCCATGATTTAGGCCCGTTTCATACGCCGTACTTCACATGTGCCGAATACATTAAAGACAATAGGTAATGAGCTGAAATGCCTCATTATCTATTGTTTTTAATGTATTCGGTACATGTGAAGTACGGCGTATGAAACGGGCCTTAAAATCATAAAATAATCGTCGTACCATGTGTACAACATGACGTCAGTTTGACTGCCAGGCAGCGTTCAGTCCGCTGTTGACTAATTTTGAAAATTTATGTTCAAACGGTATTTAGAAAGTTGGAGTTGCATGCACGCATGTATTTCTGGTTACTTTTTACTTTCTAACTTGTAACAATTGTAACAAGCTTAAGAATCACTGCACCACATTAGGTTATCGTCTTGAACTATTAAGATATTTGGGCTATTTCTTCGGGAAATTAATTCTGATCATGAGTAATTTGAATAAAACATTTCGCATTGTTTTTATAACCAAGGATTTATAACGAAGCTGATCAGGAGAGGCGACATGCTAACTGATTAAAATTTATATACTGATTTACGTTTTTGAATATGGTCGCTACCACCAATTTTGTGTGGACGGATTATCGTAGTAAGAGCCGTTACCCATTCATCCAGTGTTGTGACTCAGTCAGTGAAGGCGCATCTAAGCTAGAAATCCCCGCTACGTTATAACGGTACTTAAATGCAAAATTTCTGGAAATTGGTGATTGTATTACTGGTATGTTGGGCATTGCAACAACGCAGAACTAATATGGCATAAGATGGTAATTAATAAGTAAATAGATATTGTCGAATGGAATTAGTAAGTATTCTGCTTGAGATGTCCTGCCTGCCAATACTTTGTAATGAGCGGAACTGTACCGTATGGTGTAAATTATACAATGCAATAGTAAAGGAATATCGAATGGTTTTCCGTGCAGAATTGCGTGATCCATGCACGCGGGATGTTGCGAGCATTTCGGAAAGCGTAAAAATACACGAGCCGTAGGCTCGTGTATTTTTACGCTTTCCGAAAGTCGAGCAACATCCCAAGTGCATGGATCATGCTATCCTGCACGGGAAAACCATTTAGTAATTGTTTTATACAATTACTACAGTGAAACGACGCTTACTACAGTGAAATTACTACAGTGAAACGACGCTTAACTTGATTAAAATTACTGATGAAATGTGCAGTTCTCACAACATTCGTGAATTAACCAATCAGAGAATCGCTACTCCACGCTATTGAAAACAACAACATATGTGAACAGAATTTGATCGCAAATTCGCGAAAATATACAGCGAAAATACAGGGACTTTTTCGATAAGATATTCGAAATTTGAAATGGAAAACCCGCTAAACAGAGAGCCAAAGTAATATTGAAGATTCTCCAGCTGAATATGTGAAGATTGCGGAGCGTTTGATCAACTTTGAAGCGAGAGATGTTGTACTTACATGCCATGGTCTGATGAATTTCAACGCTATACGCGTTGCTACTTGCTGAATAGCAATGTATCGATCAGAAATTTATTCATACAACTAAACCAACGTCTCAATAATTGGAAACTTACTTCAAAGTCGAAAGGTATCGTACAATGAAACTTTACAATGCGAGTATATTTGTAAAATTATCAGTGCAAGAATTTCTGTTCAGAATTTCCCGTGCAGGATTGTCTGATCCTGCACGGCTGTTGACCAATCAAATTGCGTGTTTCACTGTAGTTATTATATAATACAATATCCGGTTTATTTACCTGTTCTTTGTTATTGTACACTTTCTCGTTGGTGAAAAATATTGATGAAAACTTGAAATAATGAGCCAACTCGGAAGAATCTACATTCTGTTGCAATAGATTATATGCCGACGCGCCTTCGCCTTGATCTATAATTGCCTTCATCGCTTTTAAAGCACTATCGTAATCTTTAGCCTCTCTGAGAAGTTCCGGGTCTGACCATTTCAATTGTTTTGTTTTTCCAGTGAAGATGTCTTTCTTTCCACAAAAGATTAATTGCCCAAGGAAGTACACCACGGACATGTATAAATCGCCGATTGTTTTATGTTTTTTCCTGGTTATTTTTTGTTAGGAAGAGGAAACAAAGAAAGTGCTTTGGCACATTTTCCTGGATCTCCACCTGGTCATTCGGAGAAAAATGAAAAAACGTAGCAGTCAAAAAAACAGAACAAAATCGAGAACCAAATTTCAATACACAACCTGTGATACCTCCGCGCATGCGTGACGGGAAGATTTTAGTCGGATGTGACATGAGATAATTATAATTTGAATATACATATATGAATGTACAGGGGCCGGTTGTATAAAACACTTTTAATCACTTTTTTAATCACTATTTTGTAGTTAACATAGTTAACTTTGCCCACTCAGTTAAATCGGTTGTAAAAGTTAAAAAGTAATTAAAGTTAACTATGCTCTAATGTTATGAAACTAGTTTTCCTATCTCTGAGGATGGTTCTGAAATGCTCTAGAGTGCCGTTAACTTCTCGACAACGTAGTTAAAAATGGCGCTTGTATAGGAGTGAACAGCATTTTTCAGTAACGCAATAATGAAAAACAATGCTTACCTGGGATTTTCAATCGGTATCTTCCCTGTGAATGTTTCCTGACAATATAAACTCTTCAAACGCTATCGCTTTGCTTTTTTTTTAGCGAAACAAAATATATTTTTGCATGGGGAAGATTTCTCGAGTACGACGTAGGGCCCATTACACGAAGAAACATGGTGTATATTTGCCAAACATGCAGTTGCACTTTGGTTTAAGTCGTTTAACGTGGACATTTCAAGTAAAAACGACATTCTTCGTTGATTTATTCCTTGTTATCTTGTTTATTTTTCAGTCCCTTACTCTGAGTGTATATCCACACCGGGCAGGCTTGAAAATATGCCTGGGCACTGTGGGAATCGAACCTCCGACCTTTGCAATACTAGTCCAATGGTCTGCCAACTGAGCTACGCGGTCAGGTCAGTTCGAGTATGCGATATTTCGGAACTTAGTCTAGTTCCTTCTACGACTAGTATTCCAAAGGTCGTAGGTTCGTTCTCACCGTGGCCATGAGGCATATTTTTCAAGCCTGCGTGGCGTGGATATACACTCAGAGTAACATCACAAGCATCTTAAATTACTGACCTGAGTACATTACACCAACAATGACAGAAAATATCATGATTACTAGATTACATTGATATCGAAGGAACTAGGCTCAGTTCCGAAATATCACATACTCTAACCAACTGGCCGCCTAGTTCAGTTGGCAGAGCATTTGACTAGTATTCCAAGGGTCATAGGTTCGATTCCCACCGTGGCATGGCATATTTTTCAAGCCTGCCTGTTGTGGATATACACTCAGAGTAACATCACAAGCATCTTATTCACCTGAGTACATTTACACCAACACAGAAAATATCATGATTACTAGATTACATTGATATCCAAGGAACTAGACTCAGTTCCGAAATATCACATACTCGAACCGACCTGACCACGTAGCTCAGTTGGCAGAGCATTGGACTAGTAGGCCAGGCATATTTTTCAAGCTTGCCCGGTGTGGATATACTATACACTCAAAGTAACATCACAAGCATGCTAGTATTTCATAGTGTTTATTCAAAATATGTTAATTAATAGTTGACGGCATTGATATGAAATAGAAATAAGGGATGGACCATTAGATTTTTGAGGGGGGGGGGGTGGTTGGGAAATTTTTTCGTGCATGATATTTTTCTTGTCGGGCAAAGATGTGCAGGATTTTTTTTTCGCCATGATTCGCTTGCAGGATATTTAATTCTTCGAATAATTTACTGAGTTGAGGGGGGTCGATTCTACCTGAAATTTGAACTTCAATGTTCAAAATTTAACTGAAGTGTAGGCTAATAATTATAATAAAGGTTTTGTGACTAAGTTTCGGAAGATAAGGGGATCTGGTGGTTCTCCCCCAGAATATTTTTACATTTTTGAAGCTGTAGGACTGCATTTTTGGCATTTTCTAAAGCAAATTCGCAAACGAATTGGATGTACAAGACAAGACATTTTATTTGAACCCACTTATTACATTAGTTTTACATTACATTAATTTTTTGACATGACATGGGTTCCGTCTGCCCGAAATAACCATTAAGGGGCTAGATGAATCAGGCAGACGTGACAAAAAATATTACTTTATTATGCAAATTTTACTTGAAAATGTCAAAATTTTTAACTTAAATTTTTTCTGAATTTTGCCAGAATTTCACAGTTGGGGTGCTTTTACACCCCCCTCCTCTCCCACGCACACGGTCGCAACGTCCCTGATTCTATGATACAAGGTGCTCACGAAATCAATGCCTAATACCAATCTTAATAACCACAATCCGATATCTTCGTAGCCGTAACATCAGCGGTCTAAATATCCCTTTCCTAGCTTTGCTTTTCGCAGGTGTATAAAATAGCAGTGCTGGATTAGTACCCCCGCCTTGGGCTTATGATCTGGTTCTGTTTTATAATTTTGTTTTTAAAAGAGATGTGCTCTGTGTTGTTGATTAAAAGGGTTTGTTGTTTTAATAAATAATTCCACTCCTTGTCCAAGGAAGTATAAAATTGTTGCCAACAATATTCACTATAATCTGTAGTATATACGCATGAAGTATATATAAATGTGTGACATGATTTATTTTCGTGTTTTTGATTAATTTAAACAGGTATCCCTATTTTATACGAAGCCTTGTTAGTTAATTTCAGATTTGATATAAAATCACACAATCTTCGTATGAAAAACATATAAAATGTCACGTATAGTTCTAAAACCATGGCGCTTTTGCACGATTTTTTTTCTGTTGTTTTCTTGTGCAAGATATTTTTCCTTGGTTAAAGTTCTGCTCGAATTTTTTTTGGTATTTGCCCAACCTCCCCCTCAAAAATCTAATGGTCCATCCCTAATTGAATATAAATCTCGCGCGCACAAATTCAAATTTTAGGCTTTTAGCAGCCACAACAGACCAAAAGCCATAAGATAAAATGATTAAATAGGATCGATGGACGTTATAATTATATGATATAAGCAGTAATATTTCTTACCTGAGATCAATAAGCCTTTGGCAGGTTTCAGAGTCACTTATCCAATAAGAAATACAGCTTTTCCTCGTGATTTTCTTCAGCGAAATGTATTCAAACGTAAAAGTCGAAAATTTTCAAATCACACGACATTGATACACGATATCCCACAACTCATTGCGCGCGTGGCCCTTGTCTTCTAAAATAGATACATCAAAAAGCGCTTCCAATCTATCGCCAGCTTGAAACTGTGTGAAGCATTCATTAATCTGGCCAAAAAATGATCATAAAGAAATGGTGAAAATTCTTATAAACGAATAATGAGATACGTTTTCTAAAAAAGCCAATTGCGATAATATAAAATTTTTAAGGTTATCGTATCGCATGTCATAACATGTCGTTGATATTTACGCAAAATCTTGTGTAAATTTACACATCATTTTCTGCAGTGTCACACCATCTCCATTAAAGTGTAGATAGGTGATTGTTACCAATGATTTGAATCCATATATAATTGTTATTTTTCGCTAGCTAGCAATTCATTGACCACATTGTATTCATTCGGATATCCGCCATGTTGAAACTGCGACCATTCAGGACAGAGCCGTTCAGCTTCAAATGTGACAAAAAAACAGTGAAACATATACAATAGAACGAGGTTTATTCAATTCAATATCATATCTCGTGTTACTCATGCTAAAATTGCCTAAAGACAGGTTTTAACACCATGCGATAAACTATTTATATTAAACTTCATTTCAAGATTGTTTTTCTAATTATAAGAATATTATTCTAGGTTGGAAAAATGTTATTCTTAAAATAAGAAAAATTTTCTCCCGAATATTCTGGCCTAGTTATATTTTCTTACTTCAAGATTTTTTGTTCTTAAAACAAGATTTTTTTTCTTGAAATATTTCTTGATAAGAAATAATTACTTAAAATAAGAAAAATAATCTAAAAAACAAGAATATTATTCTTGACTAGAATCTGATTTTTTGCAGTGATTATAAGTCAAATTATTATAACGGTTTCGGATTAAGGATAATATATGAATTAAGGATCGGTTTAGGATTGCATATTACTTCCGGTTGTTAATATGGAAATTGTGCCAATAATTTTCGAATGCATCGTTGCACATGGGTGATTTCATTGAATTTTCTGACAGTTTATACTTTGAGGATGATTAAAGCAAACAAAAAGATATTATATTTTCTCTCGTGAAACTCAGTATCATGCATTGCGCAAGATTGGATGCATTTTCTGTTGGTAGTTCCTGTAATGACCACTTCATGGAACGAGGTAAACCGGAACAATTTGTATTATAATATTTTATTATCATTTAACAAATTTGTGCTTATCAAGGACAAACAGTATACGGATAATAGCAAATGAAATGCCAAGATTTTCTGAATGCTGGCGTTGTGGTACACCTTCCGCAACTGTAATTTGCCATTCTTGTGGTGTCGCCAAGTACTGCAGCAATAAATGCAAAGAAAACGACATCGCAAGGCACAATGACGCTGAATGTCGCCCAGTATCTATTGTAGATACATGTTCATCATGTCGTAAGACCGGTTCTTTGCTACAAAAATGCACTGGATGTTACCGTGCTTTTTACTGCAACCCGACATGTCAGAAGAATCATCGACATGACCACAAGGTAGAGTGCAAACGTACTGTGGCAAAGATAAAAACACTGGCCCGGTCACTTTCCCATTATTTCCCACCAAATTTTTCTCGAATTTGCGTTGCACATTATTACTGGGGCAATGCCCCCGCGTATGATTACCTAAATTTGTCAGAAAGCGAAGGCATCGACTACAGTTCAACTATAAATCTTTTGGTCCTTGGTGTTGGCGATTTACGAAATGTCGTGATGACTTCTGCCTCGTTGCCTGACAGTTTTACAAACAAGGTCAAGTTTACATTAAACGACTCAGACAGGTGTGTTTTGGCAAGATTGGTTTTGTTGCTCTACATGATGATTAAATGTAAGTTTGTAACATCGCATCTATACCTTGAGAGTCGCATGTCTACAATAAATTATTGTGGGTTAGGTCGCAAAGTATTGCATGTTTTGTTTGAATTGCCGGAATAGAATTATATAAGCAAACATGTTGAGACACAACCCGATGTTGCAACATTGTTGCTGTATTTTTAGAAACGTGGGCGTTCAAGGTCGTTCGAAAGTAAACTGACTCAACTAGGCGAATTTGTTCGCACGAAGCGACTTTTTCTTTTGTCGGCATCCTATTTACTGGAGTGCAAGGAACAGACAGGTTCCGACAAAAAAAACGTCGCTTTGCGCGGACAAATTCGCCTAGATTTTATATTACGTATATATATATATATATATATATATATATATATATATATATATATATATATATATATATATATATATATATATATATATATATATATATATATCAAATTCTAGTCTAGAATAATATTCTTATTTTTTAGATTATTTTTCTTATTTTAAGTAAATATTTCTTATCAAGAAATATTTCAAGAAAAAAAATCTAGTTTTAAGAACAAAAATCTTAAAGTAAGAAAATATAACTGGGCAAGAATATTCGAGAGAATTTTTTTCTTATTTTAAGAATAACATTTTTCCATCCTAGAATAATATTCTTATAATTAGAAAAACAATCTTGAAATAAAGTTTAATATTATTTATCGCATATATCAAAACCTTTCTTTTGGCAACTTTTGCATGGCTAAAACGAGATATGATATTGAATTGAATAAACCTAATTGTAATATTGTATATCTTTCACTTTTTTGTCAAATTTGAAGCTGAACGGCTCTGTCCTGAATTGTCGCAGTTTCAACATGGCGGATATCACAATGAATTTGAATATGCCCAATGAATTGCTGCTATTGAAAAATAACAATTATATATGAATTCAAATCATTTGCAACAATCGTCTATCTACGCTTTAATGAAGATGGTATGATCCACCGCAAAAAATGAAGTGTAAATTTACCCAAGATTTTGCGTAAATATCACCGACATGTTATGACATCACGGTTAATGCTGTCAAATGTTATGACATTATTCCGAAATATCACTTACTCGAACCGTCCTGACCGCGTAGCTCAGTTGGAAGAGCATTGGGCTAGTATTCCAAAGGTCGTAGGTTCGAATCCCACCGTGGCCGGGCATATTTTCAAGCTCGCCCGGTGTGGATATGCACTCAGAGTAACATGGCAAACAT